CATCTTCATAGTTTTCTTACTCATTTTTTAAAACATTTAGCCTCTCTTTTTGTGATATTAAAGTTAAAACCAAAAGAAGGCATTTTCTCTATACCTAAGGAAATGTGTTTCCATTCCCCCCTTCCATTTATTCTTATCATTTATTCTTATCTGGTCTCAGATGGATAATAAAATCATTTTTTGCTTCTGACCTATCCTTTTACAAGAATTACTGACATTTGCATTCAGATTTGAAAATATATTTACAAAGTTTAGTCCTAACACTTATGTGTAATAATTTCATGGTTATCACTAGGTATTATATTCTGGCTTTCTTATTTTTCTAGTTTTTCATTTTAATTCTAGTTTTAGTAGTCTTTTTCATCCCAATCTATTTTCCTTTCACCTCAAATTGGTCTTTCTTTATGGAACGCTGAGGGTACCACCTTTCTGAAGTTTTTTTTTTCTTTTTGTTTGGCCGTGTTGAACCATAGTTGCTTGATGCTTATGTGCATTCAGTCAATGAGAACTTTCTTCAAAATCTTTATTTTTCATTTTTCCTCTTGGCACTTTTCTCCACATACTATCTAGTAAGCCAATATGTCCGTTGTCCTTGCCAACTATCTACCCAAATTGATGGACTGAATTGAAACTACAACCTTTTAGATATAGTGAGAGCAGTACTTGGATAGAAGCCAGGGCCTCTGCATGCCAGTAAGATGCTCTACTACTGAGCTACTTCCCCAGGTGCCCCCTCCCACATTCTGTGGTGCCAGAGATCAGTTTTAGGGTCTTGTGCATGCTAGGCAAGCACCCTACCACTGAGCTACTCCCCCAGGCCCCAGTACATCACATTGTCAGCTTTCTCCCCTCTTTTGTGGATATACCATCTCCCCAGATGTAATGTGCTGTAATTATTCCCTCAGCCTTTTTTTTCCCTCAGCTATGATTTTCCAGGAGTGTTTATATCTGAATAACATAGAACTATAAGTGGATGGGAAAGAAGTTTAATATTGGTCTGTTTGAAAACCAGCACCCATTTTGAACATAATGGCTGCTCAGTTTCCTGTATGATATCAGGGTCCAAATCTCGGAGTTGAGCTGTTCATTAGACCATGGAATCAGGAAAACAAACAAAAACTACTGCTCTTCCAAAGAAGTGAACTGTTCTGTTTTATACCATGATGTCTGGATAGACTATTTTCTCACTCCTGACCCATGGGCCTAATGATCACTTTAAATTTTTCCCAGATTTCTAGCTCTTCTTTCTCAGTTTTCTGTGTTAAAGTTTTCCATTTTCATGTGTATGTTGTTGACAGTTGGGAGAGGCAATGCCAGGGGATGGTGGCCAGAAGCCACTTTATACCAGAAGTCTTCCATTAACTATATTTAATTATTATAATGAGTACATTTGTCAGGAGTACTTTCACTTACTCATTCCAACAATCCCTACCACCAGTTTTCCTAAGGATCAATTAAATTAACACCTACTGTACATCAGACATTTAAAAAATTATGCTCAGAACTTAATAACTAATACCCCCCCTTTTTTTCTCCAGAATATTGTGATGAAGGCTATAACATAGGAAGTGTGAAAGGTGTATGGTCACCAGGGTCCAGCATGATTTTTTGACTTGAGAAACTGGAAAAGCAACCCAGAGAATATGAAACTTTAGTGAATCTTGTGGTATCAACAAATATTCAGAAACTAGATAGGGAAGTCAGGCCATTCTTTGCAAAAGGAAAGCTTTGGAACATAAACTAATGTAGCATGAGATCTGGAGGTGATGGTGGTATTTAGGTAATAAAGCTGAAGAGGTTTGTAAGCCCTTATTTTTGGATAGTGGACTAGAGTGGGGAAAGTCAGATGGTGGGAAGATCAGATCCCAGAGCTGTTAAAATCATCTCTGCCAGTCAAGATGGAGGAGTGAAGTCAAACAGCAGCATCTGGGATGGAGAAGTGGCAGGTTTACAAGATGGAGGATGAGGGAGGAAGAATGCGTAGTTTGAAGATTAGTTTTTCTGACCTGCTGATGTTCAGCTGTATGTGATAAAATGGTCAAAGTAATTGGTATGTAAAAATAAACCATATCTATTTTCAGCACCTGTAGATCCCCCTTTTGCCTGCTTTGGGTTATCACTCCTGTTTGGGTTGTGATCAAATAAGCCAGTCCATTTTAACATGCTCTTTCTGTGCCTGTACTATCTTTCTTATTGTGCCAAAGAGTCACATTTCTAGTGATGAAAAATGAAAACATAAATGAATTTGACATATCTTGAGGAATCCCTGTTAGGTATAGCTGAGTAATGAATCCTATTTTTGTGATTTCCAATCAAATATTCTTTTCACTAGAATTATCTGCTTTCTTGCTCATGAAAAAAATCATGTAACTATCTGAAAACTCACAGTAATTTACAAGTTATTTTGTATCTTTGTTATAGTTGTAATAAGTCCTACTTCCAATGAATATATTTCTTTTATATATTTCATATGGGTGTGATTAAAACATATCATAAGAGAGACAAAGTAGAAATATTACCCTAAAGTTTCTGAGAAACTAACAATCTATTCAGAGATCCAAATGGTGTTATCCAAGTGAAAATATTATTTATCCCCCAAAGGAATTTCTACCTATTACCCACAATTCAGTGAGATAGATTTGCTTCTCATGTTTGAGTTTCATCCCCCAAATCATTTATCTTTTATTCAACTGAAAAAAAATAGATATATTCTTAAACTCTTACTGACAAATTTTCTACTAATGGAAGAATCAACAGTAAAACAATAAAAGTCCTTAATACACACTAGATTTGCTGGAACAACTTAAAGTACCCATCTTATAAACTGATGATATGAAACATTTATGTGTTTCTGAACTGAGAATTGAATCTCCATTTGCTTTAGTCAAATAATTTTTAGAGAGGTACTAGAAATAAAAATATATACATACACATCAATATAAAGCCAAGTTTAATAACTTTGTGGTATTATTACAAGAAATGACATTCCTCTCATATTTTTACTGCAGGGGTAAAAATTTTTTTTTTTTTGGAAAATACTTAAGAGTGAACTGAGATATTCACTCCAGAGACTAATGCTAAAATGTTTAGTGATGCACTTGTATTAATTTAAAAACATAACTTGTTAACCATTATATAGTATTTGTTTCCAAACATTTGAAAAACTCTAATAAAGATTGTAACACAATTGTAATCAGCCACAATCAATATGCAGAGGCTGGTTTTCATTTTCCACTTTGCATTGAGAGGCAATTCTTAAAGTACTGAAGACCAAGCTGTACTTGAAAATGGCTGAGATTTACTTGTGCTTAGATCTCTTCTATTCCTCCTCAATGTTCAAGACATGCTTTCATTTGATAAGGAGGCTTTGGAAGCAGAATTTTAACATGTAGCTGTGTGCATTTAGGCATGCAAATAGACACACTGTATATTATTTTGCTTTTACAGTAATTATTTTCATTTATGAAATTCTAAATTCAATGTTAAATATTGAATATTTTGGTTAAGTGACAGCTTGTGCTAGCTTTAGGATATTCCTGCTTGATAATTATTCATGAGAAGAACAGCTGAAAACAAACTAGTTATACACCTTGGCAAATTACTGTGATTGTAATTCTGTGAAATTTCCCCATGGCCATGTGACTTTATTATAAGTACTCTAACAGTGCAGATGTCCAGAATGTTCTCGTTGTCACAAATGTTATTCCTATATTCAAAGTTTTTGAATCACTCTTTACTACCTCAGTGGAAACATGACAAAGGAGATGAGACATGCAATATGTATGATAGAACATATGTAGCTCTTTTTGGTGCCTGGCCTCCCTGGGTTTGGAGTAGGCATGGTGCTTACATACTTGGTTCTTCTGAAATATAGAAGCACTGGCATTTTTGCGAGATCTAGATATGATGACAACATTTCCTATTAAATGTTTACAGAAAGGAAAAAAAATAGCCCCAATTTATTATCCTTCCAAAAAAAAAAAAAATTCACCCGAAAATCAAATGTTGTATCCCTACTCTCCTTCTCCCTTTTAGTTCCTTTCCCATATGGTTCCTGAAATGTTCCTCCCTTTAAATGGATTTTAAAGCTCATTCCTTATAGTTCCTAGAGCATTCATTGCTTTTGAGAAAAAAAAAAAAGAAAAACATTTTAGCATGTGCTATTTTTGTTATTCTAATTAGCAAAAACAGCTGGTCCTGTGCAGCTCAGACTGTAGTCTTTTTCAACACATTGTTCAGATTTTTTTTTCTTCTCTTCTTCTGACAAGCTACAGGCTACCACCTCTCCTCTTCCCACACAAATCAACCCCCAAAACACCTGCACACACAACCTTAAATATCACCTACATCTGCCATGAAAAGAAGAGGGAACCAGCTTCTCCTTCCTAGTGGCTGGGCAGGGCACCATGCCCCGGATTATGCACAAGGTGAGCAGAAGTCATTCTCCAGGTTCTCATCTCCTCGCCGACTTTCCACTCACCAAGCATTTTCTCTGTGTCTCTAAAGTGCAGCTGTCTTACAGGTTTTTGTTTTTGTTTCCTTTCTTTTTCTCAACCCCTTCTGGTGCATAGGAGTAGCCTCTCGTAGAAGGAGGGATTGAAAAATTGGATAATCAAACCTTACTCACAATTTGGTATCTATCAAAGGCATGTGACTGCCAATGATCATTGGAGCTGATCAAAGTCACACTCTGTTGCCATGACAACGAATCCCCATCTTGTTTATATGGAGGGGTACGCACCACAGGAGAATAATGTTCAGACGAATTAAATTTGTGTTGTTGAGAAATTAACATGCAGGATGGTTAGGAGTGAGTTGAATGGGTGTTTATCAGTGTGTGTTTTTTTTTTTTTTTAAGGGAAGAGGTGGTGACAAAATGACACCTAGAGGGTGTCATGGTGGGAGTCCAGGTGAACAATGAATGTTTAAACAGCACATTTCATAGAAGGAGTCCAGAGATGAGGTAGTCCTCTTTATTTATTTATTTAGTTTATGACTGATGAGTTTCAATATTTTATTAAAATAGCAATTTAACCACAATGAACCAAGGATACCTTAATTTGGTTCCCTCACTCCCAAATATGCAGCACAACACAGTAGTGATTTCAAATATCGTTGATCCTGATAAACAACAGAAAGAGATGAGGTGGTCCTGTTTATTTGACTGCATCATTGACATATTTTATGAGTCACTCCAACTTCTTCAACTCTTCTTCCCTTTTTCAAAATTTAAAAGGAATTACAAGAGCATGTGTCTTGTAAGTTTTATATTCATTTATCCATTGAGTTGGAAACAATTCTTGGTACCTTTAATCTGCTAGGCAAAATATAGTAAGATTAGTATATTTTAATTTTCAAGGATTCAAGACCTGCCCTAGCTAATTTTTGGACTTCTAAGGTATCATTTTGTTATGAAGATGGTAAGTGTTAAAAATTATTTCCCATGATATTTTTTTTTTTTTTTTTTTTTTTAAGTGGGGCACCTCTTGCTGTTTTAGATTTTTTCATAACCAGTTGAAGTCTCTTCAAAGCACATACAATAGACCTGGGCAATTTTAACATTGTTTTTCATATTCAAACACAAGTTCCCATTGCCCCTTCTCCAGGTACAGGTTTCATGACATTTTCTCTCTCCCTGGCTCCTTCTCACTCCTCCCAGCCTCCAGGTCAGATGCTTGCACCATAATCCTCCTTCAGCATGGAACTATCAGTTCTCTCAGGAATCATTTACTCTTATTTTCTGAGATAAACAAGATTATCCTATGTCCAAATATCAGTTTCTTTCAGGTACTCTCATTAGTTTGGCCTTCTGCCTCTTTCTTCTCCTTGTTATTATTCCCAATATGAATTCCACAAATATTTAAAGTGACTGCCTTTTAGGGGCAGCCTTGACATTCAGGATGCAACCCCAGTCCAGGGGTTCCTTGCTGTGATAAAGGAGAGAAACCAGTGCTCACGGACCACCTCTTGATATGGTATACCTCTAATCCTACCACAGACTGGAGGAGGTGAGTCATACCCCCAGCAGTCCAGGGAGGAAACCCAGTCATGGAGTGGCTGGGAAACTTGCCTCAGGACATGCAATGGCAGGCCACCTCTGAACTTGGAATGCCTTGCTCTGAGATGTAAATTCATTTTGTTTTTGTTCCAGGCTGCCTTGGGTGATAACTCAGATACACACACACCTGTATAATAACACACAAGATGCCCACTCATATAAATGAGTGTTACCTGAGCTTTCATGGCAAAGGCAGCTGCAGAAGTGAAAGCAAAAAAAAAAAAAAAAAAAAAAAGAGGTCTCTGTAAACCAGAATGATCAGGAATAATTCTGAGGAGAAGGTGGTATCTGACAAGGGCCCCCAAAGGTGCAGCACTGTTTAGGTGAAGATGGAGGCTGAACAGGTCGCCGTCTGTTGCCTCTGTGGACCACAGGTGTTGGTTGTTGTTCAGGACATTGAGGAAGCATGCTCCAAACAGAGACAAACTCTTTGTGTTTTGTATTTCTCGTGGCTTCCACGAGATTAATGCTCTTGTGTATTTTCCGGCTGGGGTCTAGCTTTATTTATTTATTTAAAAATACCTAAATTGTTTCTTAAAACTAGCACCCCTGGACTGGGATATGGTGGCTAATATCTCCTTCGTTTATTGAGCTAGAAGGCCCTTGGGGATCACAACTTTTGTGAGTCAAATTAAATCCATGAAGAACTAGTACAGCCAACCTCATGTGCCATTTTCTGTTGAACATACCGGCCACAGATACTGGTAATTTCAGAAGCAGCCAGTAATCACTGCTTGATTGTCTTACTTCAAGCCTTTCTCCTACCAAACTTTGATGACCTGTGAATGTTCCAGTGAGTCTCTCTTTGGACTGCTGGAGGTGTTGTTAATAAAAAAGAAGAGTTAGGAAATATCTAGTAGAGAGGACTGAGTCAAGAACCAAGGGATCCTGGGTCTCTGTCCCAACCACTTTACTCTGTAAGCCTGTAAGGCAGTGTCTCCTACTTCATCAGTTCTTCATCCTTACACAAAGAATGATGGGGCTGTTCCCATCACTAGAGTATTAGCAAAGAAGTATTGAGTACTTCCTCTGACATTTTTAACTCAGTTGATATTAATTTGCTACAACACCTTTACTGAAAAAGTCATTTTCATAATAAAACTATCTTGCTACCCTGGAAGAGGTCCCATCTGTGTTCCTCTCCTTGGGGGAAACAAAGGCTGCACAGTCTCTGTCTGCCTCCCCTTTGTGTCCATGGAAACAGTCCTAACCGAAGCGACCTGTGAGCTGTGCAATACCTGCACACTGACCCGTTCTCCCACAGGACAGTTCTTTTTGTGTGTTGACCAAGACTTCAAGGAAAATACATTTGAAAAAATTTTCCCCCCTTGGAGTCATCCCTCCTCTGCTCCTTGCCCTTCCTCTGACAATATAAAGCTGCTAAATTTAGGGAACAGAATTCTTTAACCAAACATATGAATCAATCATGTGATTTGCTGGCTAACTGTGTTTAAACTGCTTGATTTGTGTATTTGGTGAAGAGGAAAAAAAAAAATTCTGGTCAGCGCCTTCCAGGAAGTGAGTTAATCAACTGGCAAATGGTGCCTGGCTTGTTATTAGAGCTGACAGGTTATCTGATTATTATAAGAGAAGTTTCCCCACCATATTCCAAACTCACCTTCTGAGTATTTTCAGGAGGGTTTAACCTTGTCTAAGAACTGGGAGAATGTATCCTACTGCTTCACTTAACAACCTGATGCACACGTTGGAGAATTTTGAAAACATTCCCATAAAAATCTACTAGAGGCTGTTGCCAGGGTGAGTCATTGAGATGTCACAGAGATCTGGCAACCGGTTAGCGCTACCCCTGCCCAGACCCTACCCACTGCTCCAGAGAGCTCTGTAGGATTTTGAGGTTTCAAAATGAACCTTCAGGCTGGGTGGTGAGGGAGATTCAGAACAGGGAGCCCTAGGTCAGCTTCCCTGTGTGTTATTTGAGCATATAGACTGTGCAGGGGGTTAATGATAAAATCGTGAACTTAGCACATGTCTTTGGCACTGTGTTGTTCCCTTCCACGGTGGGTCTTCTAATTAACCAGGGCATCAGGCCCTTCTCTCTTCATACCAGGAGATGTGCCACAAATTTCAGCTTAATCAACTTTCACTCACTTGGTACATATTGGGGTTCCAGTATAATTGTGCAATTGTTCAGGAATTGTTAAATAGGTTTGGTGTGGAAATGAAGTTTCCTGAAATACATTTGCATCATCAGAATCTAAGCTTCTGTTCCTGGGCTATTCTGTTATCCCTTAAGTTTCTGAGGGGCTTTTTCTCACAGTGCTATTTTTATCTGGTATAGAGGAACAAATTCATAAAAGAAATCTCAATTTGCTCAAGCCTGATATTATGTGTATAATGACTGGATTCGACAATGAACTGACTTTTGAATTTTAGTGAGTGGTAAATGAACGGATTGGAAACCACTGCTTTTAGAAATGGGCTCCTTCTGTTCCTCTATTCTAAATTTCATACAGGAGGGGAAGTTATTTTGCAGGTATAGTTCTTTTGCCTGGAGGTTGATTTTAATTTACTTGTAATGGTGGTTTCTTTTCCCTCTTTCCATTAAAGTGTTCTTTCTATTCAAGTCTAGAGTGTTGGAAAAGTGTAGCAAGTATTTAGATCCTTTGTGATTTACAAGTTTTATGTATATATTCAACTAGTAGTAAGCCAGCAAATATTCCCTTTCCCAGGCATGGAGAAATATTGTCTAAAGGTAAATGAAAATGTCAGTAAGGGCTTAATGAACTTCATGAAGCCTTGGGAAAACAGGAGACCAGGGATAGCTTTAATGGCTTTCCTCCCCTCCCTTCCTCTCTCTTCCCCTCTTCTCTCCTCCCTTTTTCTCTCTTCTTCTCTCTTTTTTGCATGCCAAAAACAAAAAACAAAACAACCACCACCAAAACCACCAACAACAAAAAGATAAAATATCAAACATAACAGAGCAAAAATAGAAGATTCAGGCTTAATTATCAGGGTAACAAGTAGACAAACTGGCAGAGATATGTCACACACACATATACACACACACACATATACACACACACATATATACACATTCACACATAGCCTTCTCTATAAATCCTCTAGAGGCAGTACCTTCTCCAGTGGTTCTCTGTGGTATTTGGAAGATTAACTTTTTGGTAAAGCAAAAGAGGCCTCCCTTTATTTCCTTCTTGAATATTTCTGGTAAGAAAGGAATATTCCTTGCACCTTAAGAGAAGGAAAAGTTCACATTCACCATTTGTGTTCGAGTTCTCATTAGAAAAAATAGGAAAGTTATTATTACTTCTTCTTTCTCAAACTCTCAAATTTAGTTAATAGTAATGTGCCAACATTAGATTTTTAATTTTTTAAAATTCTTTGTAGTTGTTTACATAGAATCGTCATCCATCCCCTATTGGGAGGTAGTGCCAGTTAGCAGAAAGAATTGGAGATAAAGTGGGTTAGGATTTTAGTCCTCTGCTCCTTAAAACTGTATCACCTTCACTTATCTCATCTGTGAAATGGACTAATATTTCATGGACTTCTGGTCCACAGAAACAGTAAAAGATAGGACTTTAATGTTGCTTCTACATGTACATACAATTTTTATCATGAGTCACTAATATTCTCAGATTTAGCCAAGAGTCAAGAGTTTCCAAGTGCTATAATAAAATTATACTTCATGCTGAAAATCAAACAAGACAGAATTGGGGAAAATTCTAATTGTTTTTCCACTTTAAAAAGTATTTGAAAGTTTTGGAAAGACAAAAGTGGACTTTTTTGGATAATTGCTAAATGATTATAAACCCCAGGTTAACCTGTGTGTTGCCAGTTTCCTGGGTGGGCTGCTGATGTCCATTTATCTCTTTCTGTCTTCCTGGTACTGTATGTAGAATGGAGCCTCCTCATTCATTTCTGCAGTTATTACAGCTAGCTTTTGACTATCCTAGGATGGACTTGCTGTATTTTTGATGTACCTATCAACTGGACTAAGGATTTAGAATGACTTGCTCAATTTATGTTATATTCTTTCATTTTTGTCCCTGCTTATGAAATCTACAACTCAGCTGTACACCTAAAAGACAAGATACCTAATTACTGTTCCAGTTAATATGACTGCATAAGAAATTATCCCCAAATTCACTGGCATAAAACAATTATTTATTAGGTTCATAGATCCTATGGGTTGGGAATTCAGACAGAGCTTGACAGGAACATCTTTTCCTCCATTCACAGTGTCTGTGGCTTGTCTGGAAAACTTGAAGGACTGGGGCTAGGATCACTTGAAGTACATTACCTGATATTTCTTCAGCTGATGCTGAGGGCAGGAGGCAGCCTACTTGGGCCTAGTTGACCAGATCACTTACACAGGACCTCTTCAGGCATGGAAGACAGCTGGGCAGAAGCTCTCTTGATTTGACTTAGCTGCATACTGTCCCTTGCAGCCACTCAATTGATCTGAACAGTCTTAATTCTCCCCAGGGGGGAGGAAATAGACTCCATCTCTTTTGGGGGAGTGAAAAGACTCTGAAAGAGCATGCAGGACTTCAAATACTGCAGTAGTCACTTCTGGAAAAGTGACTACAATTTACTACAATTACCTACCAGACAACATTGAGAAGTTGTAAAGCATAGACAGCTAAGTAAATATCCAAAGCGAAAAATAACTCCTACTGAGTAGGTGTCTCGTTTCTATTTATGAGGGAGAGCTATTTCTCTTGTGAAAAACGGAAGAAGAAATAGTTGTAAGCACAGCGTCATTTGTAACAATTTAACTAGATGGCTGGTGAATTCTAAAGAAACACTCCCAAATTAAAAATGAATACCAAAACTACATTGTAGAAATCAAATTTAAATACTTTTGGATGAATTGTTCTGGATAATTCCGGACTGCAGCATTACTCGCATGAGCTGGATGTTCCAATTGCTGATTTTTCTTCTTCTAGGTCCCCTGGATTAAAGATGGTAGTGGCAAGTGGAGAGGAATGTGGTGGCCGCACCTCTAGTCAGTCTTCTGACCATCTACTCATTCTTGAGTGTTCAGTGAGAACAGAAACAATCTTTGGGTCACTGACTCATTCATTCATGCTTCCATTCGGCATGAGTTTGTCCAATACTCACTATGTAAAAGTCATGCTAATTGTTTTTTGCTCTGTCAAATACACAGGTTAGTATTAATCATATCTGTTTTCAATAATAAAAGCTATCATTTATTGAGTATTTAGTATGTATCTAGCATTCTGCTAGCACTATATGGATTATGTTTTCCATCTTTCTGGCATGAATTAAAGTACATACTCTTGTCATCCATTTAACAGTTCAGCAAACAATTTAGGAAAAAATGATTCCTTGTTTAATTTTGTCCAGCTCTTTGGTAAGACATCTTGGTGTCACACTTTGATTTGTTGAACTGAGAAGCCTCCTTTTTTCCTGTGAGATATACTGCTTCTTTCAAGAGATGGTGTGTGTGTGTGTGTGTGTGTGTGTGTGTGTGTGAGAGAGAGAGAGAGAGAGAGAGAGAGAGAGAGAGAGAGAGAGAGAGCAGGAATAGACAAGGTACATTTATAAATAATTGTAGCATAAGGTGAAATTTGGTAAGTATCATTTTAAAAGCTATGGGAGTTGGAAAGCCCACCTTTTTGTGGGATAATTAACGGAGAGCATCGTGGAAGAGGTGGCATTTGATTTAGAACTTGAAGAACTAGTAGTATTTTACTATGTGGTGGTGCAGATAAAGATGATAATCCAGGTACTGGGAGAATGTAACTAGAGATGGAAGAACATGGGGGCATTTGGAGAACAGTACATCAAGCACATTAGAGGAATCCATGTGTAGGAGGGTGATTAATGGGTTAGAAGGCTGGAACTGTGGGTTGAGTTCTTATCAGGAAAGATCATTTATGGCAGCTAAGTTGCAGGTATTCGAGAGAGGAGTGATATGGACAATATGAGCAACAGGAAAAGGAATTCAGCTGGGCCACTCAGGATAGACTGAGAGGGTTTTGGGAGATGCTAGGAGTTTTGCAATAATCTGGAATGTATTGATGAGGGCAAAGATGGTATTGGTGACAGGATCTACCAAGAGTGAAATGTGTTGACATTTCTATAAAAAGCTCACTGCAAATCTACAGCAAAGAGATGAGCTGTTTGTTATTATGTGTATGGTTTTCACAAACTGACCAATTGTTCAACTAAAATGTATTTGCTGTCTACCTGAATATATACCTACCTACCTATCTAATCTATATATGAGCTTTATTAAATCATACTCTTCAGGGACCCTCCTGAGCACCTGCATCTAATTTGGAAATGTGTTGTCATAGCTCCTGTTGAGACTGGTCTACATTTGGATGTTCATTTTCTATTCCGTTTATTTCGATTAAAGGCTTTGCTATTAGACTCCTTACAAGTCATACCCCACGAATATGAAGTCAGAAAATAATATTAGCAGCCTGAAAGTACTGAATTGCTGGTCAGTGTTGTTAGGAGCAAGAGGAATAAAGGTTTAACAGTGCATATTGTAAGCAATTTGGTAGAAAAGGTTTATCCAATTTTTGCCCCTGAATTAGTTGAGTTTTTTTTTTTTTTTTTTTTTTTTTTTTTTTAGAAAAGGAAATGATGTGCCTGGTTCATTCTGTTAACATTTCCCTGTCCCTGTGCCCCTCAAGGTAGGTCTGTGCACATGGAGAGGTTAATATTAATATTGCCTTTTTACAGCTAAATTATCTGGCTCTAG